CCGCCAGGGCCGGCCAGATCTGGGTGGGCCCAAGCGGGGCTCGTGGGGCGGGGCCTGAGTCTTGGGGGGGGGGGGGCACAGTCCCAGTGGAATGGGCGCGGCCTAGCAGGGCGGAATGGGCGTGGCTTCTGGGAGCACCGCCCAGTCCCGCTTAGACAATGCCCCGGAGCCGCCAGACCGTCGCGCCCCCGCCCGATCTTAGTTAAAGAGCTCTCCTACCCTGGGACCCCCTCAAAAACCAGAGCTTCCAATCCCTGAGCATTGAAGACTAGGACTCTCCTCTCCACCAACTCTGCTTTCGGGAGGGAGGGACCCACGCCGAGATTGCAGCTCGGCAGGAGTGGGGGTGGCTGCAGGAGGTGAGTCTGGGGTGAGGGATGTCCCCAGCACCGTGTGGGGACTTGAGTTTGGTTCTTGGGGCTGCTGGACCATGGCCGCACTAGACGGAAAGTGCAGGGGACCAACGTTTATTTGCGGAGCTTGGCCGGGCGGACTTTCGAGAAGATGGACTGGGGGACCGGCTCCGGTACCCTGAGTGGCGCCTGCTCCCCGGAACCACGCCCCCCCAGGTTTCCCCGCCCCTCATTTCGTTTTCGACCTCTCCCAGTCCCCCGAGACTTGGTCTGGTTTATACTCGGTCGCGCTAGGGGCAGCGTGACCGGCTGGGGTGCAGAGAGGATGTTTAACTCTTTACGCACTATTCCCTCCTTCCTGGCTCCTCTTTTCCTTCCTCGTTCGGGCATCCAAGACTTCATCCCCCAGGCCCTGGCTCTATTCTTCAGTCTCAAAACCCTTGTATATCCCTCGCTGGACTTCAAGTCCCTCCAGCAGCAAGCAGCTTAGGGTTAAGGGGGCGGGGCCGCTGCATTTTTGGGGAATGAGCGCATCCTAGCGGCTGCCAAGAGGGGAGTCTGATAGGAACCTCACGACGCCCCCAGAGCTGGGGCAACAGGTGTTTTGGAGACCAGGGATCCCAATCCTGTTCGACAGATTTTCCCCAAAGCAGCAGACTTTCGAGGGTGCGGGGTGGAGGGGATTCGGCAGGAGAAGGAGGTCTAGAATGGGTGGGGCGAGTGGGAGGGGCGCCCGGAGATGGCAAGTAGACGACCTGAGCTTTCTTAACCACCCCCTGTGCCCTTCTCTGCATGTTTTTCTTTGCTTCTCCTTTCTGTCTCTTCTCCCAGACAGGTGAAGTAAAACACGAAAACTAAGCAATCGGCGCTGACGGAGGAGGGCGTCTGTGTGGATGGGATGGGGACGCCGGGGGAAGGGCTGGGCCGCTGCTCCCATGCCCTGATCCGGGGGGTCCCAGAGAGCCTTGGGTCAGGGGAGGGTGCGGGGGCTGGTCTCCCGGCGCTGGACCTGGCCAAAGCTCAGAGAGAGCACGGAGTGCTGGGGGGTAAACTGAGGCAGCGACTGGGGCTGCAGCTTCTAGAACTGCCTCCTGAGGAGTCGCTGCCGCTAGGACCGCTACTTGGTGACACGGCCGTGATCCAAGGGGACACAGCCTTAATCACGCGGCCCTGGAGCCCCGCCCGAAGGCCGGAGGTGAGCGCCCGGGCGCAGACGGGAGGGAAGGGGGGGGGAGGGGGACGGGGAGTTAGAAGTCTCAGACTTTAGGGAAGAAATGGGGGAGGGGGACGCCTCTCAGCTTCGCGCCAGACTCCTCTCCTGCTCCAAGGTCGATGGAGTCCGCAAAGCCCTCCAGGACCTGGGGCTGCGAATTATGGAGATGGGGGACGAGAACGCGACGCTGGATGGCACCGATGTTCTCTTCACCGGTGAGGCTGGGGTGCTGGCATACCTGGGTTCTGATACAGGGAAGCAAAGTGGGAGACTGGGCCGTTTCAGGCCTTGTTTCCAACTCACTCTTATCCTCAAACCTCCATGGCCTCACTGGGCACAGGCCGGGAGTTTTTCGTAGGCCTTTCCAAATGGACCAATCACCGAGGAGCTGAGATAGTGGCGGACACTTTCCGGGTGAGTAGCTGGTTCAGTCTTGGGCAGGGGAGCGGGGGACCCACGAAGGACGGGAAACCTGAGAGCAGCCTTTGTTTGAGATAATTCCTTCACTCCTCTCACGCCCCTAAATACCTCCCCTTATTCTCCCTAGGGAGCTCTCTGGTAGCGTAGTGCCTAAGGCATTATTTGATTGCTAACCAGAAGGCTGGCGGTTCAAATCCACCAGCCATTCTTCGGAAGAAAGGTTGGGCAATCTACTTCCGTAGTGATACTGCCTCGGAAACCCAAAGAGGTGTCGCTGAGTCGGGTCCGACTCTTCGACTCTTCGGCACATAACAACAACAACATTCTCCCTAGGATTTCGCCGTCTCCAAAGTGCCAGTCTCGGGTCCCTCCCACTTGCGCGGGCTCTGCGGCATGGGAGGACCGCGCACTGTAGTGGCCGGCAGCAGCGACCCCGCCCAAAAGGCTGTCAGGGTGAGGAGGGGGACTGGATAGGACGGGGTGTGGTCGATGGACGTGGGCGTGACTCCCGGATGGGGAGACGGGGAGCTGAGAAGGCTAGAGAATTAGACTCAACTCCTGACCTCACGGAGCTGTCCATCTAGTGGGAAAGAACTCGCGAGTAAACAAGAAGTACAATAGTGGGAGAGGGCTATTGTTATTAATTTCCTCCTCGGGAGTTTCAGGAAACTCCCCAAAGGTAGCATCTAAGGTGTGACTTGAAGGATGGGTGAAACAGACAAGTATGGGCCCAGAAAAAGGGAGAAGAGGGTTTCAGGTGGAAAGAACTACATGTGAATTCGAGAGGGTGGCAGGTGCCCTGGAGTGGCTTCTGACTCAGTGACCCTATAGACAGAGTAGGACTTTCCCATAGGGTTAGGCTGTAATCTTTACAGCTGCTGTTGGGTTCAAACCCCAGATGGATCTTTCAGTTAACAGCCAAGTGCTTTAACCATTGCACCATCAGGGTTTCTTGAATTTGAGGTAGAAAGTAGTAAATGGAAGTAAAGTGCTTAGCATAGTGCCTGGCTATCATTATTATTTCATAAATGTAACTCTGTCCCCACCCTTAATGGTGGTTGGGCAAAAGCTTCCTCTTTCCTCTCCATCCTTCTCTCTCCTAGGCAATGGCGGTGCTGACCGATCACCCCTACACCTCCCTGACCCTCCCAGATGATGCAGCCGCTGACTGTCTCTTTCTGCGTCCTGGGTTGCCTGGTGTATCCCCATTCCTTCTGCACCGAGGAGGTGGGGACCTGCCTAACAGCCAGGAGGTGAGAGAGAGCAAAAACCCCACTGGCACCACTATCAAGAAGGAAGGAGCTGCAGACCTTCCTGGTGGGAGGACAGAGGGGTGGGGTGCCTTCTCTAGAAGCCTGGATGGGATACTCTGAGCTGACTGGAAATGGGGCCTGGCTCTGGCCTTGGAGTATTAACCCTTCCCTCAATGTGTCCTCCCTGCAGGCACTACAGAAGCTCACTGATGTCACCCTGGTACCTGTGTCCTGCTCAGAACTGGAGAAGGCGGGCGCTGGGCTCAGCTCCCTCTGCCTGGTGCTCAGCACACGCCCCCACAGCTGAGTCCTGGCCCTGGGTCCTGGTTGGCTAGGGGAAGGGTAGCAGTGAGAGTAGGAGGAGAGGAATGTTAGAGGATGGTGAGTAGGTAGTAGTGGGGAGAGGACCCCAAGATGGGGGGAGGGCATAGTGTGAGAAAAAAGATAAGGGCCATTGGGTGAGTCCTCTCTGTCAGAACCAATAAAATAGAACTGACCTTTTACACTGGGCTGTGGCTGCTGTCTTACTGGGCCAGAGGGGCAGGGGCAAGGCTCAAACCTGATTGTGGGTCAATGCTGGAAAGGAGGCCTCTCATTAAACAATGTTTCATTAGGTACTTACTCATTGCCTAGCCCTGGAATAGGGTCTTGGGTCCAAGATAGGTGAGACAATTTCTATTGTTAGGAGTATGTTCAGGGTAGAGAAGGGAGAGTATGGGCAGTTCACTCTCTGGATTTATCTGATGATTGAAAGAAGGGTAGATTACCAGCCACCCTGATTTGATGGAGAGGAAGAAATGATGCATCCAGGGACACTCACTTTCATTCACTCATTTACTAAAGCATGGCAGTGACATAAAAAGGGTCAATTTCCTGATATCAGGAAATTCAGATGCAAACTGAAGTATAGGCTGTAAAGGAACAATTACAGGAGGCTGTTGGTATGAGAAAAATAAGATGGCTTCCTAAGGCATCAGAGTGTATGCAGGGGTAGGGGGAAGAAAATCAGAAAAGGTTACATTTGAACTGAGTTCTGAAGATGAGTAAGAATTAGGCAAGTAGAGGGAAGGAAGGGAAAGCGTACCCCAGGAATAAAGAAATGCATGGGCAAAGGCATATTTGGGGGCTGAGGAGAATTTCTCTAAGGCTGTCACATTGTAGGGAGCTCTGGTGGCATGCTGCCTAAGGCATTTGATGCTAACCAGAAGGCTGGAGTTTCAAACTCACCAGCCACTCCTCAGAAGGAAGGCTGGCAATCTACTTCCACAGAGATGCTGCCTCGGAAACCCAAGAAGGGGCTGCCATGAGTTGGATCCAACTCCACAGCAGTGAGTTTGGCTTGGTTTTTTGGTCATGTTGTATGTGTGCAGAGTTAGTGACAAGGATGAGCCTGGAAAGTGGATAGTCCTGTAGCACCTTGTACCCAAAGCCAAGGACCATGAGTTCAGAGCTCATGGCAGGCTAAGGAGAGAAATACTGCGGTTCTGGAATAAGGGCTGTCAGGAGCAGGTTAGCATTTGGGGAGGATCTCTCTGGCTGCAGGGAGGACAAGGACAGGGGTGAGGTGGGGCTACAGGTAAAACAGGCAGGAAGTAAGGAGAGTAAAGGCAGCAAAGCTGGATATGGAGAAGGGTGTGGAGTTGGCAATGATATGATAGAAACAGAGGACTTGGAGGCTCTTTGTATGATGGGAAAGGGGGAGAGGTCTGCATGACTCTCACTTTCTGGCTTGGACAACTGGGTTGACCACAAGACTGAGTGGGTGTCTTAAGAAGTGATAATGAGTTGAACTTTGGACATCCTGTGTGTAAGATGTCCAAGGACATGCTGTATGTAGGGATGTCCCAGGGATAGTTTTGGAAATTTCAGATCTGAGATGTGAGCTGGAGATAAATCTGGGGCCATTCACAGAGATAAGGCCTGGCTATGAATGAGAACTTCCCAGAAGAAAGAGAAGGGAAAGAAAGAAAAGGACAAACACAGAATGGTTGGCAATGCTGTGGGTATAGGGAACAAGGAAAAGTCCAGAAGGAAGTCACCAGTAGCAAAAGAAAAGCTTAAAGAGGGCAATAGTCAAAAGCTAACCAGATGGATGCTAAATAATGTTTACGGGGTGTCTTCCTTCCAAGGAGTGGCTGGTGGGTTTGAACCACCAGCCTTCTGGTTAGCAGTCAAATGCCTTAGGCACTAAGTAACCAGAGCTCCTAACCAGATGAATGCTAAATAATGTTTACTAGCTGTAGCCATTAGGACATCACTGGCACCTTGGGGAGAACAGATAGCCATTTCAGTGGATGGGCAGTGAAAGGTAGAATGGAGAATGGAAGTAGCAGGTGTAGGACCCTGGTTCAGAAGTTTGACTGTGAAGGGAAGGGAAGAGACAGGGCAACTATCTGAGAGTTGTTGATGTCTTAAGATGGGGATGCAGGGCTTGATGAGGTTTAGTGGTTTGGCAAGGGCACCAGTGATGAAGGAGGGATGGGAGTAACTGAAGGAGACAGATCAGTAGCAGGGATAGCCTGGAACCCACCTATCCCATGGTGCCTTCCTTTTCCAGGTGAGGGGTGAAGGGATGGGAGCTATGGAGAGCTATGAGCCTCAGATTGTTAAGTTTGGAGTAAGGGTTTCCCTTCAAACTACAACCGCATAGATGGTGGAGGCATCAGCAGGAACGGCTGGGGACTGGCGGTGGGGTCTTCTCAGGGCTATATGGTCCAGGTCGGCATAAAGCAGGCTCTGAAGGGTGAGGAGGAAAGCAGGATAAGACCAGCAGTCTGATTTCCTTGGGGATCCAGGCCTAGGTCTTTCCCACCCCCCTTCCCTCAGAGATTCTGGCCAGCTTCCTCCATCTCCACGCCCTCACCGGCTCTTCTTCCGGGTCTCCTGGGAGCTTGGGTTCCTCCTCCATTACTGGCCTCTGCGGCTCGGCTTTCACCAGTGGAGCTATGTGGGGGGGACAGAGCTGAGGGATGGAGAGAGGATGACCAACTTGTCTGCTCCCAGCAAGGGCTCAAGACTCAGGAACTGAGGGGTAAGGAGTGTGCGGATAGGAAAATGGGGTAGGGTTAAGTCTCACCAAGTCCAGAGGATGGTCGAAGCTGGTGCAGGGGAGAGCTCCTGAAAGGGAAGTATATACGTCTTCGTCTTCGAGAGCCACCCATCTTTTCTTGCTTGTTCTCCTGGTCCCCAGGCCCCACTGTAGACAACTCACCAACTTGCAGGCTTTGGTGCGTAGAGCAGCGTAAGCTCCACCCACACCTATAGCCCCGCCCACTCCACGTTCTTGTCCTCCTCTCCCTCCTATTTAGCTCCACCTTCCTAACCAGGGCTCCACCCACCAGTCCCGTGGCTGGCCTTCAAGTTGTGACCTGCTGTATTCTCCAAACCCCACTCCAGCGCTCCAGATCTAGATCTTTTACGTGCCAGAGTTCTAGATCTAGATATTTCACCTACTAGGGTTCAGGTCCCGCTCCTCCGGGATCTGGTGCCGCCCCTCCCGTCTCTGGTCATTAAACCAGGCTCAGCTCTTGATGCTCACCTGCGCAGCCAGCAGGCCACGCCCAATGCTCCCAGCCCCAGTGCCAGCCCGGCGATCAACAGCGGGATCAGGAGTTGGGAGTACAAGGACCCTGGGGGGGGAAGAAGTGGGGGTGCCGAGGCCAAGGGTGCAAAGGACATGGCTCGCTCTCCTACTTAGAAGCCCCTCAGGCAAGGCCCATTTCCCTCCCTCCCGAGGAGGATGTGTGTCCAAGTTAAGTCCCCTTGTGCCTGCAGACCCCGACTTACTTTGAGAAGGCCCGGTAGCCCTACAATCGGCCCCGTCCTCCAGCACATGAAGCACCGTACGGCTCTCGTTCTCTTGGCGGCCCTTGCAGAAAAAGGTGCCCGAATCTCCCGCGCTCAGGAGCAGCTCCAGCCGCCGGATGCCAGAGTCCAGGACGCGTAGGCGGCCGGCGAAGGGCTGGGCAGGAGGCACGGTGGGGGTCCCGCTGGACGAGGCCCACAGGATCGGACGGCGTCCTTTGGACAAGCCTTTACAGGCTGGGAAGCTAGGTGCCCAGGCCCAGCGGATGGGGTGCGCGACTCCTACGCAGGAGAGATTCACCCGGTCCCCAGGACGACCCTTCAAGGAAGCTAGGAGAGCCGGGGCTGTGGTGAGGACAGTCACAGACGGCAAGACTACCCCCCTTCTCTGCCTCCTCTCTCCAGCGCATCTTCCCTCAAGACATCCGAAGTCTTCTTCCGCCCGTCTTCCAGGCGCCTTTTCCCCCCTGCCTGTCTTTCCTTGCTCACCCACGCTTCCCCAGACACGGCTTACCCACTGGGTCCCCTTGAGTTCCTGAGAGCAGCAGCAGCTGCAGAACCAGGGCCATGTTTGGCATGTGGTGGGGAGAGTGGACAGTGAATCAGCGGGGTAGACCGGAGGGAAGCGGAGAGCATGGCTGCGGGGGGCTCAGATAAGAGCCAACGTGGCCCCGCAGCTGCGCTGTTCCCTTCGGGATGGGATCCTCACAGGTCAAGTCATAAGCCCTCCAACAATGCTCACTTAAAATTTGTTTTCTGAGCATTTACGCAAGCGCTTTCGCATACTTTAACTCCTGCAGCTTGGCCGTGTCCGGGAGCACCCGTGAATTCTGAGACCTGGCTTCTGAGTTCAAGTCTTGCCTTTGCCATCTATTAGCTGTGTGATGGGGAGCTTTGGTAGTGTAGTGCCCAAGGCACTTGACTGCTAACCAGAAGGCTGGCGGTTCAAACCCACCAGCCACTCCTCGGAAGGAAGGTTGGGCAATCTACTTCCGTACTACCTCGGTAACCCAAGGAGGGGTCGCTATGAGTGGGGTCTGACTCGATGTCACATAACAACAACAAAGCTGTGTGATGTGGGCAAGTCTCTTAACCTCTCTGGGCCTGTTTTCTCATCTGTGAAATGGAGATACTAACAGTTTTGAGAACTAAGTAAATTAATACATGTAGAGCAAGGACTGACATAGAGAAGGGTCATTTAAGTGCTTGTCATTATTACTATTAACCAACTGCTTGAATAATTTCTTTTAGAGGGATCAGCACAAGGCTGGTCCCTATGAGGCAGAGGTCAAAGATGTCCCAAATGTCTGACTTTTCCAAACTGCTGTGCCACTCCATCAGCTCTCATATCAACTCCTCCTCCTCCCCTCAGTACTCTCCCTCCTGTCTTAGGGTTCCCTATTTCACAGTAATGTTTCACAGAACTCACAAACTGCCAGGGAAATGGCTCAGGTGGTGGTGGAGGCTGGGAGGCTGGCAAGTACCAAGTCCGTAGGTAGGTCTGGAGGATTCTTCCCACTCAAGTGGTTGCAGGGGCCAGTGAACCCAAATTGGTGGGTCAGATGACTGGTTGCTGTCTCAAGTCCAGGGTTGAGATGATGATGAACCAAACACAGGACCAGAGCCAGAGAGAGAACTCTCTCAGAACATTCACATACATATCCTCAAGAAAACTAAGGGTGGTGACTTGAGTCATCTTCCAGCAAGTGGGACTCAAGATACATCCCACTCTAAATAGGCATGTTGATGTTGTAGTTTGCCGTCCAGTCGGACCTGACTCACAGCGACTCCTCCTTGGGTTTACGAGGCAGTATCAGTATGGAAGTAGATTGCCCCATCTTCCTTCCAGGGAGTGGCTGGTGGGTTTGAACCGCCAGCCTTCTGATTAGCAGTCAAATGCCTTAGGCACTATGCTACCAGAACTCCTTCTAAATAGGCATAGATGAACCTGTGGGCTCCAGACAATAGTCGCATCAAGCTCAATTGGCACAACATATACACAAAACATTGTTCTACCTCCTACTTTGGCGAGTAGCGACTGGGGTCTTAAACGCTTGCAAGCTGCCATCTAGATGCAATGTTGGGTCTCTCCTTGTCCAGAGCAAAGAAAAATGAAGAAAACCAAAAATTCATGGAAACAATTAGTCCTAGCGACTTGTACACCATCCAATCTTCAACCTATATGACTATGAGACTAGAAGAACTAGATGGTGCCCAGCTGCCAATGTCAACCACTTGGAAGGGGATCAGTGAAGGAGATCCTGGATAGAGAGGGAGAACAATGTGGAACAAAACTCAAAATCATTTGGAGAAAAATAAAAGGGGGGTGGGGACCAGGTTTGCTGGTCCGATAGAGCCTGGTGGAACCACTGAGACTATGGCCCCTAGCTGGCTTTCAGGTCTGAAATTGAACCCACACCTGTGGCTTCCAGCCAACAATAGACAGGTATATGAGTTGAACATTTCCCTGAGGTAGATACACTCCTTGGAGAGAACAATCATGGGAGAAAGAAGGGCTGCTTATGCACAGGGAGACAGATGGGGGCAGGAGTGCATGGAGGGGTAGACACAGGGAAGAGGTAACTATAGGAAGGAAGTGGGAGGGGAGCTGTTGCATTGTGGTAAATTGTGGTTAATGTCATGAGACAAAGTATATGTGAACTGCTGTACAGAAAGTGAATTTGCTCTGTAAATTTTCACCCAAATCACAATAAATTAAAAAAAAAAAAAGACGTAGAGACTAGGATTTATAATACATCACAAAATGGAGGACAATGGCTAGAAGGGCCACACCAAACAATTCACTGCATTGCACCAAGCAACCAGTTGCCATCCAGCTAGGAGGGGTGGTGGTGCAAAAGGAGACTCATGATGATCCCATGTATGTCAGAGTACTCTGCTCCATAGTTACTTGCAAGTAGATTGCACCTTCTGAGGTGCCTCTGAGTAGACTGGAACCTCCAACCTTTTGTTTAGCAGGCAAGCATGTTAGTTAATCATGTGAAAAAAAAAACCAAACCAAACTCACTGCCATCAAGTTGATTCCGACTCACAGTGACCCCCATTGGGTTTCCAAGGTGGTAAATCTTTACAGTAGATTGCCCAGTCTTCCTTCCATGGAGTGGCTGGTGGGTTTGAACTGCCAACCTTCTGGTTTGCAGTCAAATGCCTTAGGTACTACACCATCAGGGCTCCTTTGTTAACCTTGCAGGGACTCCATTATTGCTATTACTGTTCTTATTTTAGCTTCTACCTTACCTTTCCATGCCCACGCTGCTCCTCCCAGCTACAGGGCTCCACCCAAGCTGGCAGGCTTTGGCTGAGTGAGAACACTTTGGAGAAGGTACACATGTCCCATATCCAGGACTTCAGTAGCCATAATTGGAGCAAAATGAATGAGGTCAGGCCAACCCCAAGTGGAGTCAGCGTGGAATCCCAAGTATCTGTGAGAGGCCTGAGGCAGTCCTCCCCCTTAGCAGTTGGGCTGTGGATCTCCTAGATCTGCAGCCCCAGCCCATGTTTCCACTGCTATGATGTCATAGAAATCCTCCATAATGCCACAAACCCCACTCCTTCATCCCGGGGCTGCAGAGGGGTTGGGAAGATCAAGAGGAACAGAATTAAGATTAATTTGATTCTCCCATACTCAATTTTTACTTGCTGCTGTATGCCTCCACATTGTCCACTTCTCAGGAGCCAGCAGAAGCCATCACCATGACCACTGCAACATCACGGAGGCTTTGGGTGACATTGAATCAGAGGACTGGACAGGCAGGGCCCTAAGCTGGAAGCCAGAATGAGCATGTTGGCTTGAAGTCAAGAATGAGAATGGAGTTGACACCTGCTTTCTCCCATTCCTCTCTCCCCCTGTCACCCAAGTAAGCCTGCTCAGCCTCTCCCCACTCTTTGTTTTCCCCTCTGGGAGCTTTGTGTAAATGGAGAGGGAGGGGCTACTGGCAGTGAAGGGAGGGGCCTTTGGAAATATAAATTCACAAAAGGTCACTCAACTCCCAGAGCCAGATCTCTGAAACTCTATTGTCAGCTGGTGTGGACACCATTCTCAGGACCTTCACCATGAAAGGCCTTCTGCTGCTTGCCCTGTCTACTCTGTTCTGCTGGGTCTCAGGTGAGCATCTGAGGGTACAAGGTCCTGCCAAGACCTTCACCCTGCCCTACCCATTGCCCTACACTACCTACTAGTCAGGATTCCAAGCACCCATGCCCCAACTGGCTCAGTCAGCTCTTCTTGGGCCTCCAGGATCAGGCCTCCCTGCCATAGGGTCCTTGAACCACTTTTTAGGGGCCCAGGCTTCCACCCTCAAACTCCTTCCTGCCTCCAAGAACCACTCTTCTTACCTGCCAAAGTTCCAGGCTCCTGTTTCCCATCCCAAGGACCCCCTTTCTCAGAAACCCAGATATCCAGTTCCCTGGCCAGGTCCCTACTCCAATACCCAACTGTCCAGGATCCAGGTTATTGACCTCCTCTCCTCTCCTGTGCTCAGCAGGGTAACCTCTCAGAGACCCAGTTGTCTAGCCACAGTCTTCTTTTGCACCCCACCCTTCCATCTCCTCCATCAGGGACTAGGTGCTCAGTCCCTCAGCTGAGACCTTTCCTATTTCTCCCTGCTCCTCCCTGAGTCACATATCCCTTCCTTGCCAGAGATGCAAGCCGTTATATCTTCCTTAGATTGAAGTGAGTTTCTGGATGGTTCTCTTCCCAAATAATCTTTTAGAATCTCCTGGAGAACCAGAGAGACTTTGTGAGCCTTCCAGGGCAGAGGTGCCTGGCTTGCTCACACCCAGGATGGAATGGTCTTCACTGAAGTATATCCACAAGGCTCCTCCACCCTTCCTTCCCCAAACCTTGCATACTCAAACCTTGAATTAGAGGAGGCAGGATCTTTGGGGGCTTACCTTCTGCACCCACCCCCTCCATCTTGGTAAGGTGCAGGTGCGAGGACAGAAGCTGACGATTTCCCAGATCTTATTCCTTCCTGCTAGAGAGCTGCTGTGGTGGGAGGATCCCTTTCAGGTATGGCTCTTCTTCCCACTCTCTTGGCAGCCCCAGGAGGTGAAGAATAAGTACATTTCTAAAGATGTTTCTAAAGATAGCTTTCCTTCCATCCTTAAGTTCTCAGATATTACTGGTAATATTGTAACTTACATAATTTTATTTATTTTTATTTTTGCAGTGTTCCCTCTCCTCCCATCCCACCCCTGGTAACCGCCATGTAAATTTTTACTTTTAATGTTTTCCTCCATCTTTGACCACTTCAGAATTCCTCCATCATCTTCTCCCTCCCCTCCCCTCAGTCCTTCCCATTGAATTTCCACATTCCATTCTATTCCTAACCCCAAGTTTGTGTTCAGAGCTCTGGCCCTTTTGACTCATTCCCAGATGATGTGGCATGAAGGAAGGTAGTTAGGGTGTGGGCCTTTCACAAAGCAGCAACTCCACCCTTGCTGGCCACCCACTTTCCACCTTTGCTGCATCACTCACCTGCTCTGTTCTGACCAGACCAAACAAGTCCTACTGCTTATACAACTGGCTTTTCTCCACCCTCCTCCCCTCAGCTTAGCTATCCCCCAATAAGATACACGCCACCCCAGCTTCTCCACCCAACTTGTGTCTCCCCAGCTGACATTCGTTGTCACTCCTGCTATAAGGTCCCTGTGTTGGGCTGTGTGGACCGGCAGTCCTGCCTTCTGGAGCCAAACCAGCAATGCCTGACAACAAATGTGTACCTCGGTAATGGCCCCTTCTTGAGTGGGAACAAAGGGCAGGTGGGAGACTTTATGGAAAGGACTGAACCCAAATTAGGATTAAGGCTGAGATGGAATTGAGAATTATGATGATATTTGGCCAAGGACAATTATGTGCCAAGCACTATTCTAAGTCTTTGAATGGATTGTTCCAATTAATGTTCATAACCTATGATGTGAATGCTATTATTACACTGAGGAAACTGAGCCTTGGAAAGAGACAGTAACAGGCCCAAGACCTCACAGCCAACAAGTGATGAAACCAGAATTGGGAGATGGGAAGGGGGTAAGGAAGTACAGAAAGAAGATTAGACTGAGAAGAAATAAAGAAGGGGAGAGCTAAGGACAGGGTTGGGAAGGAAGGAAGCCTGGATAGATGCATGGGATGGGGAGGGGAATACAGGCCGGCCCGATTCCCATCCCAGCTGACTTCTGCCCATTCCTACACCCAGGTAAGATGTGGGTTTTCTCCAACCTGCGCTGTGGTACACCAGAAGAGCCCTGCCGTGAGGCCTTCAACCAAACCAACCACAAGCTGGGCCTGACCTATAACACCACCTGCTGTAGAAAGGACAGTTGTAATAGCGCAAACCCCCGGCCCACGTCAGCTGTGGCCCTTGTCCTCACCTCCCTGGCTGGCCTTGGCCTCTGGCTGCTGCACTGAGACTCACTTGGAGGCTGCCCCTCCTGCCACCTGCCTCAGCCTGAGCCTCTCTTCCTGTGTCTCCATTTCCCCTGGTTTTCCAGAACGGTCTCTCTCTATCTCCTTTTACTGTTTTGTTAGACACTCCTCCAGAGTGGTTTCCCTATTTGTCGCCCTCCCACTCTGCTTTTATTCAATCATTTCCCATTCCCCTTCTAGACCAATCCAGATCCTCCAGTGCCCCCTTAAAGGGCTCTTCCTCTTGCCTCCTGTACCCTACCCAGCCCTACTATGGGAGAGATTGGGATCTGGAGCTTCTGCCCCATCCCTGATGAAGGCCCACAGGAAGGACCTGATGACCTGATGATCTCACTATATGGGCTGAGTCCCCAAACCCTGGCTCCTCATATGTACCCTATCCCCATGCTCACCACCTTCCAGTTTGAATAATAAATGTCTGTGTTTGATAAATTGTACTTTTATTGTCAGTAGACCTAACTGTCAGGTACCCTCTCATGAAATAATCCAATCCCCATTATATTACTCTCATTCCCTGTCTCTCATCCAAGAATCCTGCAGGGAGTTTCCCTGGGGAAGTTGGGCTTGGACAGCTGGAGGAACAGGTTTTGCAGAACTTCATCTTCCCTTCCAGTGCATGGAGGAGACACACAGGCACCAGTGTTTAGAGAAACAATGCTTATCCTAAATTTAGGCCACACCTTAGTATGCTGCCAAGAAGGAGGTGCAATCTGGCTTGAAAGCTCCCCAGAAAGGGTTGGAGAAGTGAATAGAGATGAGACCCAGGACCCTCTTCCCAGGTCTCAGTCCCTCAGGTTGGAGTCACAGTCATTGTCTGGCCTGGTTACTAAGTGAGACACCAAGCAACTCTCCTATCACAGTGCTTACTTTACCTTCTTAATTTAAAATAGTCCTACTGAGAGCCAGTTGTAAATAGAAGGGGGTGAGAGACAAACACAGACAACCAGACTCATGGAGTCCTGATGATCTCCACTCAGAAGCCAGAGCCTGCTCCCTCAGTGATCCTCATTACTAAGGAAGATTGTCCCTAGCAACAGGATGGCAACAGGATCAAGGAGTCACTTAGGGCAGATTCACCATTGTCCTTTGGGGTTTAGTTGGTTTAGAAGTGCATCATTATAATGAAGTCCACTAAAGTTTGGTAACCCCCAAACTAGAACCTAGATACCTCCATATTACCACTTCAAGCCCTCCCATCAACAAAAGATGGAATCTTCCAATCAACTGTAGGGTGGTTGGTAGATTTTAATGGCTCACAGAGGAGTGTTTGTCTTCTCACCTTAGATGTCTAGATCTCCCTCGCTCCCTCACTCCAGTCCCTTTCCCACCACTACGCTCTCCACAGTCCAGGCAAGAGCAAGGCCAGGGCAGTGACTGCTGTAGCCAAGATGGATGCCGGGACCACGGTGCTTGCCGTGGCGCTGTTGCATAGGTCTCCGACGCAGCAGTCCCTGTGGGTTGTGTAAGTCACGTCTCCTACCAGCTCTGTTTCTACTTGATTGCAATGTTGGACGGCCACACAGGCTGGACGATGATGAATCACGGTCACTGAGGCTGAGGGAGAGAATGGAAATAGTGTTGGATTGTAGCTTGAGGACTTGCTTTCTGGGGCAGAGTAGAAATGTGATTTCAGGGACTCCAAAGAGATTTCTCTTCCCCCTCAATAAACATCTCCCTGGAACCAAGGGATCAAGGTCAACACAAAAATTGTGTACTTCCTGATATGATGCACTGAGAAGAATACAACATCATTTCTGGGGCATTCCTGCCAAAAAGAAAAAAAAAAAAAAAAAGCATGACCTCAATCTAATCATGATATACCCAAATTGAGAGACATCCTAAAAATAACTTATGGAGACCCTTCAAAAGTGACAAGAAGTTGATCTCAATATTGTGGCTTAACTCTTTTTTTGTTTGTTTGCTTTAAATTGTGCTTTGGATGCAAGTTTACAAAGCAGATTTGTTTCACATTCAACAGTTCATGCATATTTGATTTCATGGCCCTGATTACAATCCCCAACCATAAAAAAACTCTCCTCCCCTCTCCTCCGTGTGCCCTTCTTATCTATGCATTCTTGTCTGTCCAGCTTTCCCTCTATATGAATGCTACCTCTCTAATGTCTCATGATTGATTGATCTAAGGGGTGCATTTCCCTGGGATAGGAGTTCTGCATGTAGGTCTTTCTACTGTTGGGGTGAGAGCCAATTATGGCTTAACTCTTAACCAAACAATATACAGGCCTACACCTGCACCAGGAAGATGTACTCCTTAGAACAATCAACCATGGGAGATCAGAGTGGCAGCATTTGCACAGGGAGAAATGTGGGAAGGCAGGAATGCATAGGCAAGAAGGACACAGGGAAAGGGTTAACCACAGGGAGGAAGTGGGAGGTGGGATATTACACTGCAGGGAATGTAACCAGTTTCACAGAACAAAATGTGTATAGGAACTGTTAAATGTAAAATGAATTTGCTTTGTAAAATTTCACCCAAATCACAATAAAAAGTTAAAGACAGAAAAAGAGATAGAGTTTTATAGCATTGTGTCTGAACTCCAAAGTTTTCTTCTCAATTTCTACAGAGAAGAAACAGATAAAACTAAGAAATGGTGTGTACTAAATGCTAAATGCTATAGTAATCTGGTTTCTAGAAAATTCAGACACATCTCTTTGGTATACCATAAAACCAAACTCATGGTCATCAAGTCAATTCCAACTCACAGCAACACCCTCTGAGTTTCTGAGGCGGTAAATCTTTACTTTTGTGGAGTGGCTGTTGGGTTTGAGCTGTCACCCTTCTGGTTAGCAGTCACATGCCTTAGACACTAGGCCACCAGAGCTCCTTTCTCTTTGGTATAGGTGGTAGGGAAAAAAAGTGACAAGGTCACGAAAGACAAAGAAAGATTGAGAACTGTCACAGATGGGAGGAGACTAAGAAGTTATGATAACTAAATACAATGTGGGATCCTGGACCAGAAAACAGACATTAGTGAAACAACTGGCCAAATAGAATAAGATTAGTTAGTATCATTGTACCAATGTTATTTTCTGATTTCAGTCATTGTATTATAGTTAATGGAGTCCCTGAATGGCACAGATGGTTAACATGCTTGTCTGCTACTCAAAAGACCGGAGGTTTGGGTCTACCCAGAGGCCTGGTACTCTACTGCTAAAAAATCAGCCACTGAAAGCCCAGTGGAGCACAGTTCTGCTCTGACATGTATAGGGTTGTCATGAATTGGAGTTAACTCAATGGCAGTCTGATTTGGTTTTGGTGGTGCAATGGTTAAACACTCAGTCGCTAACTAAAATGTCAGAGGTTTGAGCCCACCAACTGCTCCTCGGGAGAAAGATGAAGATTACAGCCTTGGAAACACCATAGGGCAGTTCCACTCTATTATGTGGTGTTACTATGAGCCAGAATTTACAACAACATGCTTACATTAGGGGAAGGTGGTTGAAGCTGGTGGAAGGATATATAGAAACTCTGTATTATTTTTGCAACCTCTGTCAATCTAAAATTATTTCAAAATAAAACACTAAACCATACATACCTCCCTGGTCCTTAGCTGATGCCTGGAAGTTGAACTTTGGTTTAATATTTTGGTCCCTGCCTTCAAGAAACAGCATTTTTGCTCATTCGTACTTGAGTGAATGGGCCTATGAAGTTCTTCCTGGAGTGTGAAGAGAAGGGAGTGGAGCACAAGGACCCTGGGCTTCTGAGGGGCTCAGTGCCAGGAGCCAGAAGGGGCTTACAGACTGCTCTACTCTGATAGCTTCACCATCTGGCCAGAGCCAGGCTGTGCCTGGAAGATTTAGAAGCCAGAAGGGTTGGAGGGAAATAGGGGCTGGAGGCAGGACAGGGCTGAGGAAGAGGGAGAAACTGAGGACTTACAGTTGGTAGAAAGTTTCATCTGTCCAGAGCCTGAGTGAGGTCTGCGTTCCAGGAAGCCACAGCGTTCGCCCTCGCCACAGGTGGTCACAGTGTCTTTGCAGGAGCTTCCAGGGCCTCCGCAGTCAAAGCATTTCATTCGGTTTCCTGGCAAGAGAGAGGAGGCACTGGGTGGGGGCACCAGAGTCTTCTGGGCAGCCGGCTGGCAGAGGGGAGGATGGGCTGGGAGAGAAATGTCTGGCTTCCTCCTTACCCAAGGAAGCCCCCAGCAGGGCGCCCAGCAGGATCCCTACTAGTTGGGGGTTCATTGTGTCTGCCTGTGTCTGTAGTGCCTCTCCCTCCCGCCCACCCTCCTCCCCAGCTCCTCTCCGGCAGCTTTATATCCCCTTTGCCTTGGGCTTTATTGGGCAATAAAAAGGGAAGGGAAGAGTAGTGTCTCAGCCCTGAGGCTGGGCATCTGGGGCCTCAATGGGGACAGACAGGAAGGGGTCCCCACAGGAAAAAGAACTTTCAGCATTCTCTGGAGCCACCAAACCCCTCCATCCTCAGCAACCATTTGAAAGCTGTGACCCAAGGACTCCTAACCCATGAATCCATTGCTGTCAAGTCATTTCTGACTCGTGTTGACCCTTCGTTGCAGAGTAGAACTGCGCTCCATAAGGGTTTTTTGGCTGTAATTGCTACAGAAGCAGATTACCAGCCTTTTCTTCCGAAGCACCAATGGGTGGGCTCTAACAGCCAACCTTCAGGTTAGCAGCTGAGTGCAAACCATTTGCAGTACCTAGGGACCTTCAAGGACCCCTGGGAGTCCCTAAAAACACTTTTGAAGGATCCTCGAGTGTTTTCCTTTTCCAACTACATATCTGTGAGGCTGAATTTTTTTTTTATATATGTACTTTGGCCAAAACAACATATCACAACAGATTGAATACAGAAGCCGATATAAAAACCCAGCCATCTTTTATTAATCCTGACATTAAGTAGATTCATAAAAATGTAAATGTACTCTTCTCACTACGTGGTTCATTTTTCATGAACATATGTTAACATATTACTATTTTTAGTTTTAAATGATTGTATAAGTAGCTATTTCAGTGTTTTGTTTTTATTTCTAATAGTAAATAATGATATAGCCTGCATAAAGCAAAGCTCTGGGAGATCGTCCATGATTTTTAAGAGTATAACAGTGTCGTGGGACCAAAAGAAAGAAAGAAATTTGTGTGTGCGTCATTTTCTAAGAAAAACGTGTTTGAAAACTGCTGCTCCACAGATACCTGTGTCTCCCCCATCTCACCCACCCCCTTCCCAGTTTTAATCCTCCTGGCACATCCTTGTCCTGATTTTCTGCAAGTTGCTTGCCTCTCATCTCCAAACTCTTAAGCTCCAGGTTTCCAGATTCTATCACAACAGCCCCCTCCCCAAATCTCCCTAGATTATCTTATATTCATATAGTATCCAGGAGCTCTGGTGGCCTAGTAGTACCTAAGGCATTTGACTGCTAACCAGAAGGCTGGCAGTTCAAACCCACCAGTCACTCCTCAGAAGGAAGGTTGAGCAATCTATTTCCGTAATGATACTGCCCTCGGAGGGGTCGCTATGAGCTATGAGTCAGATCCGACTCCAGGGCAGTGAATTTGTTTTTTAGTATGGAGTATCCGTGTCTTCCTTCCCAGTCCTTCAGACCACCAAACCTCCCACCTACCGGTGGAAACGTAATCATCCTTCCTGTCCTACCCATGATTAAGTCTTTTCTCCAAGGTAATAAAACAGGGAGGGATAATTATGGGGTAGAAATGTTGAGGCTTGGGGGGATCAAAGGGATCTGAAGCTGGGTGGGGTCCCTCACACAGCTGGGCTTTGTGTAAGGAGGTGATAGGGACAGGTTGTTGTTGATTCTTCATTCACAACCCTCAGATCTGGGTCAGGGCTGTTTAGGTGCGTGACCTTGGGAGGCACAAATATACTGAGGGGAAAAGACGGGGAAAACAAAGACGGGATGGCATGGGGGTGGGGATGGAGTCGAGAAAGCAGAGAACAGCTTGAGACTAGGGGAGAGAGGGAGAGGAACAGAAGGGAAGGTGGCAGACGTACCCTGGAGCGGCAGACGGAGCTAAGAGTAAAAGAGACAAAGACACTGAGGGAACTGAGAAGACCCTCAAGGGCAGAGAGGACTCGAGTGGGGGGCAAGGAGGAGGTGAGAAATGTGGGGTGGCAGGAGAGGAAGATAGGGGGCCTCAGTGATGCTCCCTCGGGCTGGTGAGTCTCATCCCAGTTCCGCCCTCGCAGATTCACTCCCTAGGTGTGTTTATTTTCTGGTCCCTCCCTGTCTTGCACCGATGTTCCAACTCTTAAGGATCTCAGAGTGCAAAGCACATTCTTCCAGACTCCTGCATTCCACAGCCAGCCATGGGCACTGCCAGCATCTTCCTCTGCCTCCTGTACCTCTGTGGGGAGCTGGGTAAAGGTGGGCTCTGGGAATCCTCAGGGCCAGGGAGCAAGGGGAAGAGGCTTGTGGAGGAAACTGAGGATTCAGGAGCGGGTGTCTGGAGGAGGCCCAGATGAGAACTGTGAGAGCTTTAGAAAGAAAAACTACTGGGAATGGTGTTAGGTCGGCTTGTAGAGCGGGATGAGAAAAATTGTGGTGGTGGTGGTGATGGGGGAATTTTCTTTGAAAGGCATTTGAAAATAACTCTTTTTGTTGCTGTATCTTTGACTCTTTGACCTACCTCTGTCCACCACCATCCCTACCCCCTGTTCCTCACCTCACATCTTTTGCTTCTTTGCTGGAGTTCTGCCGTCCGTTGGTTTTGCCTCACCTCTTTCTGGCACCATCTACTTAACGGCTTCACTTTCCTCATCTTAATTTTTGTGTCACTGTTTCTGTGTTTGGCTCTGTTTCTTTTGGTTTCTGTCCATGTCTGTGTCATGTGTCAATCTGGCTTGTCTCTCCTCTCTGTTTCTTTTCTTGCATGGACTCCCCTTCCTTCCCTTTGTCTCTGTTTCTACCCCTGTCTGCCCTTCTCCCTACCACTCCCCTTTCCCTTCTCTCTCTTGGGCTGACTCTTGCCTCTGCTCCATCTCTGCTGCCCCCACAGGTCTCAGCACTTCCCCTGCACCAAGAGGGCTCCGCTGTTACACCTGCAACTTTGCCAAACCCTGCTACCTTGTCCCCACCGAGTGTCAAGATGATGAAGCTTGTGGCATCAGTATCGGCACCTCAGGTAGGACCCTGGTCAGATGGCCCTTCTCTAGGTCACTTCCCACCTCTACCTCCATCCATCATTCTGCCCTTCCTGCTGCCCCACAGCCTCTTGCCATCTTCTAGTCTCTGTCTCAGCATTCCTCTTTGTTCCACAGAGCAGGGTGAGAGCATTGAACGGAGGGGCTGCCTCCCAAGGTCCCAGTGCCCCCTGCAGGGCCATGCAACCTATTGGTCACGCTCCTACACTCTGCTGCACCGCTGCTGTGAGCAGGACCTGTGCAACGCTGCTACAGCCCTGCGGGGGCTCCCCAGCCCCCTCCTCCTCACCGCCCCACTCCTCCTCACCACCTGCTTTGCCTGGGGAGGCCACCTCCTTCACTAGCCAGATCTGCAGCCCCAAACCCAGGAGGCTTCCATCGTCACCATAGCCCTGGAAACTCTTGCACAGACACTTCTAGATATGCCCAGCAACCTGATTTTGTACAGAGACCTCAGATACCTGTACCCAGCCCAACCACAGGCCCCTTTGAAGACCTGATTTCTAGGGACACAACTCTAGTCCCTACAGAGCCTAGCTTCATAAAGAACACCTCTTGTATATCCTTTCTAGATGTCCTTTCTAGTCCCAGGTCTGTAGCAAGGCAAGCATTTCAATGGGGCTTGAAGTCCTTGGCAAGGGGATTGAAGGAGCACCAGATATGAGAAGGAGAGTCACTCTGGAAGCACTTGGGGAGTACATTTAATTTAATAAAAAGGACTATCTGGGATTCCAGTAACACTGTGTATGTGTGTGTACTTGCTTTCCATGTATATGTGGGGTGGGGTGCTGGAACCTGAACTAGAACTTTCACCTCATTTTCCATCTGTGTCATTCGCGTCCTCCTTCTTGCCAATAGCTTAGTTAAGCCACTGCACCGTGAAGGCATTAGAGAAAACTTCCAAGAAGGCTTTTCTCCAATGAGGCCCAAGCTGGAGGAGAGACACCTGGGGGACTTGTGGAATGGTTTGTGAGGGTGTGGCTGGGAGTCCAGCTAATTTCCAATGGAGACCAAGGGGTGGCCAAGTTGGGAACATTAATGTCCTCTCCCTCTTCACCAGTCCAGACTTGCCATCGGTTTGCTGTGACAGGTAATGATGAGCACCTAGGCCCAATAATATGACCCATCTGGAGTGGCGTAGAGGAATCTTACCTTCCTATCCTGCCTGCCAGCCCCAAGGACACTCCCTCTACCCAGAGGCAGCAGGGAGGCAAGAGGCGGCACTCCATGTGTCAGAATGTGATAAGCTGCTCACATGCTCTGGATGTCACAATGGAGCTCTACCAAGAAGTGTGTGTGCCTGGGATAAGAAGGGTGCCCTGGTAGAGAGCTGACCACAGGCAACCCTATTCTGACTCAGTTCCCTCCTCTTCAGTCTGAGGAAGCCTGAGACCTGATTAAAGGCCCTTGTTTCCTCTCTCAGCATCTTCCCTTCTTCATGGGGGTGCAAGGAGGTCTGGCTTAATTTGGCAGCAAGTTGAGTCTTCTTTCTGCTCTCTCTGTTCCTTAACCCTCCCATGTTTTGTCCTATTTTTCTCCATCTCTTTGTCCATCTCTGTCCTCTTAGTTTGACTTGAATTTCTTCCTTCTCTGTTTCTCCGTTTCCCCATTTGTCCTTTGGTTTCCACATGACTGATTCATCATTCTTGTACAGGTATCTGTCTACCCCATCCCTCCCCACCCCCCACCATTTCTTTAGGCATCCCTCAAGCACCACCATATTGAGGTTCAGGGCAACCTTCCATTGGTGACTGCAAGACAGAAGACCACACCTTTTTGTAGATGACATCACAGGATAATGTTCCTCCTTTCCTTCAGCCCCTTCTTCACCACAACATGGCAGCTGGAAACCAGCTGGACTGAGAAGTCAATGCTCAGCCCCTCCCCCCTCTGATGAGGTCACAGGAATTCTTCAAGTCCCAGATAGCCAGGTAGATAGCAGGTCACACTTTCCAGCAGGAGAAGTCACTGACATCACCTGGTCTTGGGGGCAGGTGGGCTGTGGAATTTGTGAAATAGAGACCCAGGTTAAGAACAACTCCATTCTCTTCTATAGAAGAATCCTGATCAAAAGGGGGAAGAAAATTCCAAATTCTCATGGAGCCCAGACTTTCTGGAGCCATTGAGACTGGATGAACCCCCAAAACAATTGCTCTGAGATAATCTTTAAACCTTAAATCAGAAAAATCTCCCCTGTAGTCTTCCTTAAAACAAAAATAGTTTAGCTAAATTAGTGGGCTGTGTGCCTTGAGCAAAGTGCTTTTCCAAAGAACTGTCTATATGGATCAAATTGACATCAACAACTCAAATGATTAGATAGGAAATTTAGGGGGCAGTGAATTTATGTTAATGGCGGAGGACCAACTAGGAAAAGGAGGGTGAGAATGGTTGTACAACTGAAAGAATGCAATCAATGTCACTGAATTATATATGTAGAAATTGCTGAATTGGTGTATGCTCTGTGTAGTTTTTCAACAACAGCAATAAAATTAATTTTTATTTTTTTAAAAATAATACCTCCATCCTTACCTTCCCAGGAATCAGAGCCCCCTCCCTCCACTGTTTCCTTATCTATCTTCAGTCCTCTTGGGATTTAGGCCTCTGTCCCGTTTTTACCTTACCCCAGACGGGCCAAATGGATGTTCTCGTAGACCTGGATTTCAGGTTTGAACTGAGGAATCGAGGCATCTGGGCAGAAGGAGCCAGACAGGGTGGAGAAAAGAAAACTCAGAGCTGTGTTTCTTGCTAACCCCTTCCCCAAAGAAGAGGCTACAGGGTGAGTGAGATGTGAGATCCCACATCCATAAGCTCTGTTCTTCCCTCTGGGAGGGAGGGACCCACCTCTGCACTGAACCCTCTGGTCCTTGCATCTCCACAGCATGATGCTAAGGGCCAGGATGGTGACTCCTTGACCTGCCACGAGCAGCAGCATAAGGATCCAGGGCACATCCCAGCCTGTGGAGGGGGCACAGAGGCCAGGAGAGGCATCCATGGAGGCTGTAGTAAGGACAAGACAAGAGGGGCCGGGAGGTGAGGGAAGACTGTTTCTGGGCCCCAAAGAGAGGCTTCCCCCATAGTCTAGTGGGCTCTTCCAGCAGAAGACTTCATGAGCTTCCTTGCCATGAATACTTGCCACCTACTTTGTCCCCTTCCAGGTCTCTCACCTTGACCCCATGAGCCATCATCAGTAGAGAATGGCATTGCCCTCCTGACCACACAAAGAACTAACTCCAGAAGAGAGACTGACAGTCATAACTGTCATCCCTTCATAGTAAACTAGCCTTTCAAATAAATAGATAAGGAACCTTCCACTTATCCCTTCTTCCGGTTATTTACTCCACAATTTGCTGAGCACCCACTCCATGCCAGGCACCATATTAGGCACTAAGGATGAAGAAGTGAATCAGACCCAGTTATTGCCCATTCATTGGTCTTTGCTTACTGAGATAAAGGTGATTTGTTTCTCTCTCCAGCCTTGTAAATGTATTACTCTACAACCAATAGCATTCCTTGTCTGTATAATGGACTTCTTTATTGTAAAACAATTTTTTTTTTCTTTTTCTGCCTTCACTGACAATGTGCCATTATAACATCTGTGGATATATCCTTTTTTGAAAAGAAAATACCCCCAGCAATAATCCTTATTTTCTTCCTCTTGCTATGGGATAATAATAATAATAATAATAAAAATCACAAATTACCCTAGTCCCCCTCCTCCAGGCAATGGTCTGTTCCACCAGAAATCACCCCCTAATCTGGCCAATAATGGATTGACCTCCTGTCTCTCCTCCTCCTCTTGCCTGCAGAAAAGGGATAGCCTTCCTGGAATATGCCCATCATCCCTCCCCCTCTCCTCCTTCAATTTACCTGCTAGGCTGAAGCTGACCCCTTTATTTTGAGGCACAAGGCAGCGGATGATTCTTGGTCTGCGGGTCCTGGGCTCAGGAAGCCCTTCCCCGGGGCACACTAAGAGCAAGGCAGCTCCCTCACTCCAGAAAGACTGTACCCGGCCCCTCACGGACCCCTTCCCCTCCAGCCAAGTCACAGAGTCCAGGCGTCGGGGAGGAATCAAGGAGCACAGCAGAACAGAGCAGGGAGATGCATCTGCGGCCCTCGCAGACAACTGGGAGCCTGTGGGGAGAGATGTTATCCCCTCAGTTGTTTGTGTGTCCCCAGACCCCAGTGCCTCTAGTTTGCATGCGCTTGATTACCTTTAAGCACAGAAATGTCATACACCCTCCAGTTCTGGTATATATAGTGTTGACCCAGCACGGCACACCAGTACCGCCCAGCATCCCCTTCCTTGGTCCCCTCCAGCCACAGAGAGTAGTTCCCCAGCAATTTGGGCCTGGATTCTCTTTCGAGCTTCCCAGAGTCTGGGGCTGGTTTGGCCACTGGGACTTGGGCCACCAAGACGGTAGAGGAGCCTGCTGCAGAGCTGCGGAACCAGGACAAGTATTCATCCCCATGTAGCTTGGCTGGTGAGGGACATGGCAGCTCCAATGCCTCCCCCAAGGCCACATAGATGGCCTGGATGTTCTCTGTGGGAAGAGGGTTTTGTGAGATGAGACACCACAGGATCAACAACCCCACATTCAACCTCCAACCTCTGGCTTCCTTCCCTTTTAGGGTCCCTCAACCCACTAGCCTGGCTGGTGAGCACATTTCTAAAAGAGGTGGAGAGAAGAGGGTAAGGACTTTCTGGCCCTTCCCTCAGCCAGTGAGAGGATCTGAGGGAAAGAGGGATAGTTGGCAAATGCTCACATCTCTTCCTCTTATTTCTTCTTTTCTGGAAGCATTTACTTGTCCCTCCCTCATTTTCTAAAGGAAACTATGTGACCTATACCCTCACTGTCTCTGGGACAGGCAGGAGGAGGTTCATAGGGGTAAATCTATCTTCCTGAGTCAGATGCTTCCCCCAGGACTCTAAGGAGAAAGAGCAGCAGCCCTTCCCCAACCTTTAGAATAGCTAAAGGATTCCTCCATGTCCTACTTCTTACCTGCAGCAGCCTGGGGGGGACGATGTAGAAGCAGAAGGAATAAGAGGAGGAATAGGACAGCCATGGGGAGAGCCTGACAAGTTCTCTTGCCCTGGGACCTGGTGTCCCTAGGGAGGAAACAGAGTCCAGATAAAGGCCCACACTCCCTGGACTGGCGTGACATGGGCCTCCAGTGGGGATGGGAATGCTGGGGAGATAAGGTCCAGCTGCTTATCCACTGGGGAAAAAGTGGTCACTACCTCTTGGTCCCGAGGGAGAAGAGGAGGAGGACCCAGTCTAGGCTGCTCTGAAAATGACCTCCTAACCCTAGCTAAGGGACTCATATCAAAGACTCTCCATGCTAGGAAGCCTGCACAGAAGTGGTCACGGCTGTCCACTTCTCATCAGTCTGGAAGTATATTCTGCGGTCTCTTTTCATCCTTAAGAGACACCAACTGTGAGTGAAGAAGCTGAGTAGTCATGTGGTCTACATGAGACCCAGCACAAGGCTGGACACCCTCCATAAATTACTAGCACTTCTCCATAAATTATTTGGAATGACTTGCCTTGTGGTTGCCTGGCACATCACAGACCTTTCCTGAAGCCCTGATGAGTGTATGACGTTATTACTCAAGGGGAAGGATAGCAAGGGCATGGAGAGGTCACTAACTCATCCCTCTACCCCAGGCAGGACTCTTTTAAGGCAGATCTTCATAAAGTTTCAATACTTTTTAAAGTGTCATTTATTTATTTTATTATTTTTTTTTCTTTTATTAGGATTTGGGTGAAGATTTACAGAGTAAATTCACTTTTCATACAGCAGTTCACATATACTTTG